CCCCGGGGCCTGGCTTAGCCAAAGAAACCAAAACAAAACCCCAGCCGCCTGTACCACCGCCGCCGCCGCCGCTTCGCCTCCCCTGAGCCCCGGCACCTCCCCGGTCCCCCCATGTACCGAGCGCTGTACGCGTTCCGCTCGGCGGAGCCCAACGCCATGGCGTTCGCGGCGGGCGAGACCTTCCTGGTGCTGGAGCGCAGCAGCGCGCACTGGTGGCTGGCGGCGCGGGCGCGCAGCGGGGAGACGGGCTACGTGCCGCCCGCCTACCTGCACCGCCTGCAGGTGAGTGTGCCCCCCCAGGACCCCCCACACCCCGTCCGCGGGAACGCCGCGCACCTCCCCCACCCCGCAGCCCTCGGCCCTGGGAGGCCGAGCGGACCCTATAGGAAACACCCCCACACACACAAGTTCCAGCATCATGGCGGGGGTAAGAGGGGGGGGGCCTCCCACCCAGCCCCAAGTCCGTGCCCTTGAGGTGACAACTCGACCCCTCCTCCCCACCCCAAACTCCACGGAGACTCTTAGGGGGGAGGGGAACCCCAGGACACCCCCCCCCCACACACACACATCGCCTTCCCCGCTGGAGGCCTTCCATTTGAAGAGAATTCCAGTCCGAGACACTTCAGACCAGTTACTGGAAACCCCGAGACCCCCCCCCCCCCAATCCCTCCACCCCCCCAAACCTCTCCTATCTCCTTGGCCTGCTTCTGAAGATGCCACGCTCTCGCCTTCCCCTCCCCCAGCCCCCACACCCTTTGAAAAACCACCACCTTTGACCATTCAGGATTCTGTCCACCTTGCGCCCACCGGCCTGTTTCCAGACACCCAACAGGGCCTCCTCTTCCTCTCCTCCCCACCCCCCCTGCTTTCAACACTGTAGACACAGACACCCCCCCCATTTCCTAGATGCCCTCCCAAAGTCCTGAAGTCTGAGTTATCTTTACCTTTCTCTGTAACTTCACCCCATATCCTCTAAGCTCTGCCCAAGAAACAACCTCCCCCCCCCAAACATTCCCTAGGGACACTTCCCTGGCATCAACCCCCACTCCCCACCCAATTCATCCTCAAGCCTCTCCAAGGCCACAGGCTTCCTTCCTCTTGAATCTAGAAGCATCATTCTTCTCCCCAAGCCTGGAACAGGGCCTGCTCCCATTTTAAGGAAGTGTGTCCTTAATCCAAGGCTCCCCCTCCTCCCCCCCCCCCACTGGCCTGACCATGGCCCCATTTCCTTCCAGTAAAAGGCTGCAGTCCCAGTTTCTGATTTCCAAAGCATAGTCCTGCTAACTCTTTGGGGTTTGGGGTATCTTGTCTTTAGCTGATCTATTCTGACCACAGTGGGAAAGAAAGACCAAGACCCAGAGCCCCTCTCTAGCCTATATGCCAGAAAGTTCTGCCCATCCTAACCTTTAAGAAATGTCTAAGGGTTGGGAAGGTGGCTCAGTGGTAGAGTGCTTGTCT